CTCCAGATTGTTCATCCAGCCTATCTTATTTAGACAGACCTACGGAGATAATAACATGCACAAAAACAAGACAGAGTAAAACCAAGCAACAAAAGAAAACAACAACAGGCCAATGACAAAAAAACAAAACACAACAAGAAAAGAAAGAAAAGCTTGTAGTTAGTTCAAGGACTGTTTGTTGGCCTTTAGGAGTGTTTTCCGGTCGAGTCTGATGGGGCACCAAGCCCTGGCCCCAAAGTGTATTTTTGGTATTCCCTGGGGGCTTCATTGCTCTGCTGCCCTTGCTGTTCTGTTGCACGCCCTTAGTGTTTTGCCTCGGTGCCGTGGGATCAGATTGGGAGGAATTCCCACACTGTGTCTCCAGTGTTGTCCCCTGTAGGGCTGTGGGCCATTGAGGGATGCCGTGTCTCATAGTGGAGCCGACCATATGGTCTTCTCTGTGGATTGGCTGCTTTGAGGGGGAACATCGTCCTCTAGGCTTGGTGGGCCAGGATGTGCTCCACTCTCTCTTCTGCCCTCTTCATCTGCTCCCATGTGCTCTGATCAGATAATGTCCCTCTCCAAGAGCTGCAGCCTCAGTGGTGTCCTCTGAAATAAATTCTTCTGTGGGGAGGGCCATGTATCCATGTAATTGGGATTGGGGCCGGCCCCTCAGACCTCTCCACTGGTAGTGTCGGGGGACTTTCTATGGAGTTGCCAGAGGGTAACTGTTCCAGGGCTACAGTGCCTGTTACTGTTGCCCAACTTGTCCTGCACAAGGAAACAGTTGGCTCTGTTCCCATCAAACTGTATTTTTGGATCTGAAATTTGCATGTCTCTCTCTGTTGGTCACATGTCATGGAATCTTGTTCTTCTTTTGATCCCCCACCCCAACCACCACCACTGAAAAATGCAAAGACCATTCTTAGCTCACAGGCCCGACAAACAGTTGGTGGGCCCTATTTGGTCTGTGAGCAGGGGCTCGGCACTCTCTGATTAAGAATGGAGTTTGGGTTGCATACTCTCCAGCTGGCCTTCTTGGGTACTGCTCTCCAAAGTCTGTTTTGTGTTCGATCGTTGTGTGTTTCTGGTTTGAGGACATATGTGCCTGAGATTTGAGTCCTTAAGATTATTCTCAGGAAGAAATAGTGGGTCCTCTCACGACATTTGCCAATGAACAATCACAGCCTTCCTGTGTCCCATGTGGTTGAATGAGTGTTAGATTGTTAGTGGGCGTGGAGCCACTCACTAAAAGGTTGATGTGTTTGAACTCACCTCAGGGCTCCTCAGAACATAGGCGCCTGCCAGCCCCTCTCTGAAAGGGACCTGGCCTTGAAAGCCCCGGGGAGCAGGTTCACCCTGCACACCTGGGTTCACTTAACTGATGGCAGCCAACAACGACATCATCCTTCATACACCAGCTCCACAGAAACGAGAGTCTCGATGCATCCAGAAACATGTGATTTTAAGAAAGCAAAACTTCCCTATCAGCCCCCCAGTAAACTAGGAGCAGTGCCCCTCACCACTAAAGTTCACACCAGGCTCTTTTTGATGGGCATCAAGGGGCGTTCTTTCACTGGTTATGATGCCAGTGTGCTGAAGAAGAAGGACCAGAACACTCACCCTGCCAAGGCTGACGTTGCTGTTCCCGTTGGGCGCGTATTGATGGGGTGCTCACGAGAGCAAAAGCTTTGAGGCCTCAGAAACCCCACTGGGACGAGATGAGTCAGAAGAAACCACAGCTCCATGGCAGTGGTTTTGATTTTTAGGGTTTTTAGTGGGCGTAAAACATCGTTCTAGAAGGCACAGGAAGTCCTCAGATTACAATGAGAACCTTCCTAAATCTGCCTCTGAGTCGGATCAGTGCTTCAGTTGGAATAGTCCAGTTCATTTCTAACATCATTTAGGGAAAGGTTTGTCTTAATCTAGAATATGTACTGTTTTGATCTATAATATATACTGTACCTCCTCTCTATAAAAAAAATTGAAGAAACATTTTCAGATATGCTTGAACATCTTTAATATAATAGTTTTGATGCCCTTCTTGAATTAGCGCCCACATGTTATGACCAACCAGCATATTTATGTACCTTGAATTTTCAATCCAACAAACTTGTTACAGGGCTTGGTTCATGACTCCAGGTTGTATGTAAGTCAGAGGGTGTATCGTCCAGGTAGTCTGAAGCAGACAGCTCTTCAGTTTGTGCGTTGAGTTCAGGACTCCCGCCCGCCCGCCCCCGGGAGCTCTTTCCAGAGGCATCCGTGTCCGCTTGTTTCCGGTCTCTTTTCTGGACAGGGGCAGCACTTCTTTCTGTGTGTTTGTCCTGAGTCCTCAGCCTTGTGTTCCCCACCCTATGTGTAACTCTTGTCAAAAGATCTATGAGGCATGAGTCTCCTGATGAACCCCACTTTCCTTTTACCTCTGCCTGCGTGACCCCGCCTTTCGCCCCCCTCTTATTTAGTGATGACATCATCGCAGCAGACGAACAACTCTAAAGCCATTGGCTCTGACTGTTGTTTAGCAGTTTGAGTTCAAACAAACGTGAGAAGCTCGCTGAACATCCTTGTCAGCAAAATCCTCTGATGGACCAGGGTTGCTGGATTAGAGGGTTCTCTGCAGAGTCCGTTTGTTTCCCTTTGCAAGGTTTACTTACAGAGAAAAGTGTGAGGGCCCATCACATTACAAATGAGCAACAACAGAAAAATCCTGGATGATAGTACTCATTGATCAACTCTATTGATCAACTCATTGATCAACTCTATCAACTCACATTACAAATGAGCAACAACAGAAAAATCCTGGATGATAGTACTCATTGATCAACTCTATTAATATTTAACACACGGCCTTTTTAAGCTTTTCTTGATGGAGATCACATTTGTAGTGTTTTAGTTTTTAACGTAACAAGCAGTAAGATTGATAGCAGGGGTCTGGGTTGGGTTTTGAGGTAACACGTGGTCATAGATCTGTGGGAGAAGCAAAAGCCACTGCCAGCAAAGTGGCTCCAACTCAGAGACCCTGTTCAGTTTCCTGACTGTACGTCTTCACAGGGACAGACAGACAGCTTCCTCGCTCTCCCACCACCAACATGCAGACACATGGGAAGACCCCAACAGGCAGCAGTCTCCCTGTGCTGTGCCTCTGGAATCACACCTCCTCCCACAACCCATAGCAGCCACAGCCAATGCGCAATCCACCACACGCCGGGGTTCCCTCCCATTCCCGTTTAAAACATTCTGACGTTTCTGAAATACCGATGGTCCTTAAACTCAAAACACATATATATTGTGGGGTTTGTCTGCCTGTAACAAGCTATTGCTAATTTGACGGTACACATTGAAAGACCCCCTTAGATGGAGGCACCGTGGCAAGATGATGGGGTATATCCGTAGGAGTGGGCAGTGGGCAGTAGGAAGCAGCTGGATAGCCGCCGAGGTCTGTGGGAGGAGCGACCATGAGAAAAGACCTGGAGAACTAGGCCAGTCTCCCCATGGGGAAGCACCGGGGCTCCACGTCCTTGGTGCTGATGGAGGTGGTCGGGCCGTGCTGGCACTGTGCAGGAAGAGCGGGAGGAGCAGGGCGTCAGTGGCGACCAGCCTGTGTGCCTCTGCACAGGGGCAGCTGCTGTAGGACCTGGGCTGGAAAGGGCAAGAGATAGGAAGAGCGAGGGCAGAATCCACCCAGAGGCCTGGGTGAGTTAAATGGAAACTAACGCAAACTGCAACTGGCCCAGGCTTCCCGGGTGAGGAGTGAGAGAGGCATGGGCGGGCACACTGCAGAGCAGATGGGCCCCGCGTGAACCTGGTGGTGGCAGTTTTAGTCCAGTGTGTATCTGTCCCTGGTGACAAGCTTCAGTCAGGGCTGCTACTCCACAGGATTGTATCAGCACCGCTGGAGGTTTCGGCCAACCCCATTTCTCTGGCTCCAGTCCCCAGAGTCAGAGCCTTTGTTGGGGGTAGGGGAGTAGGGAGGGCAGGTTCATGTCAGCCACTGGAGAAGGCAGGAAGACAAGAAAGGGAACAGACACTGGGAGGCCATTTTCCAAAGACACTGTTCCTTCCTCAGACCCCTCCCCTGCGAGACTGACTCCTCCTCACAGAAGTTTCTGGTTCCACCTCTCCCAGCTCTTCTTGTCCCGGGTCAGGCGAGTGGGTACTGGTCACAGACCAGGATGAGCGAGACCCCAAGCCAGCATGCAGTCCTCATGTCTTCCCCCATGTGGCCCCTAGAACCGGGTGCGGGTTCTAGACACTGCAGTGCGCACCTTGGCAAAGCGGGCTCCTGCGAGCTGTCCTTGGGAGAGTGCAGCGTGTGGCGGGTCTGCGGCACAGCTGATGCTCTCCCACTCTTTCCTCCAGGAAGGACTGTGTCTTCACCATTGACCCCTCCACGGCCAGAGACCTCGACGATGCCCTCTCCTGCCAGCCACTCGCCGATGGTAAGTTTCAGACGTGTCCCACCGCAATCGCGGACTTCGGGGTTGGCCTGGCGGCACAGTGCTCCCTGGACAGTGTCATGCCCTCGGTTGGGCTTCCTGTGTGCTTCTGGATTTGCCAAAGGCCCTGGAGCCTACACATACATTTGACCCAAATATCCCATTTCTGTAGTGACTTTGGTGAGGGTAGACCAGAAATGGCCTCAGGCGAGGACACAGCCAAGGCAGAACTAGCCCCAGGCCTTGGCCTTTGGGACGGTCAGGGTCAGTGTATGATGGTACTTCGGATGGTCAGGGTCAGTATAAGGTGGTACTTGGGATGGTCAGTGTTGCTGTAAGATGATACAGCAAGAAAACCTGTAAGTGTTGTGCTTCGGAAAGGCACGGAGCCCCTCCTGCTCAGTCTGGCTGTAGAGCAGGGTCAAGGAGTGCCTGTTCTCGAGGCCTGCCCCTGAGGCCTGCCTGCTCCCAGCAGGTTGCAAAGGCTGAACCTCCTGCCATTGAGTCAGTTTGGACTCAGGACAGAGTAGACCGTCTATTTAGAGTTTCGCGGACTGTAAATCATTGTAGGAGGAGCAGACGGCCTCCTCATCTTTCTCCTAAGTGACGCTAAAGGTGGAGCTTCAACCTTTTCCAACTTCTGAAAAGTGCCCCCAGGACAAAGCCAGGGGCCCGTGGTCCCCTGCTGCCTCTCTGACCAACCCACACACCCCTAATTCTGTCCTGTGTGGTGGTGGTGAATGGTCGAGGGGAACAGAACACACGTGACTTCCACTTGGCAGTCCTGGAGCCCACTGTCCTCTTTCCAGGTGAGCAGGTGCAGCTCCTGCCCACGTGTTCCCCATCAAGGGTACAAGTGCACCAGCAGAGGCTCTGGCAGGGGGACGGGGGAAATGGTGGAAGATAAGACAGGTGTCAGGTGCATCTGGGGACAGATTGTCCACATGTGTCAATCTCACACACAATCTGTTGGTCAGACAAGAGGAGGCCGAGTAGATGTTGGGCAGGAGAGCAGTCTGAAGGTGTATAGTGAGTCAGCTAGCAGCGCAAGATGAAGGCCGGGGCGGGGGTTTTGGGGGAGGGGGGTGCGGTCCGGGCGAGGCAGAAACCCTGCCCTGAGGTTCCGGCATGTCAGTAGGAAGGTGGGCCCAAAGTTCACTGGGGGTAGGGAGGGGCGAACTCCAAGAGAATCAGGAGATAGATGATGGATGGCATTATGGAGTGGAGGCTGGGCCTGGGGCAGGGACCAGGTGGCCCTTCCAGGTGGAAGGTTGGGGCAGGACAAGCAGGTTCGTCGGCATGGAGTTCCCTATCACAAGGTGTGTACCTCTAAGCCCCCATGAGCCTTTCTCCGAGGAGCTAGGGGTACATCAGTGAGATATACACAGGCCGAACTCCGTCCACAGAGAGCTGGCCGAGAGGGGCTGCACACTGAAAGGCAAACAATGCCTGTCTGAGAGCGAAGGGCCCAGCATGAGCCCGGGTCCTCTAGCTTCCACACTGTCATACTGTGGTAATAATAGTTTTATAAGGGGAAAAACGTTTACAATTAAAAAGAAAAATTATGAGGTGCCAGAAATCCCAGGCTGCCCAGTAGCACACTGCAGCAGGCGACAGCCATCTCCCGGTCTGCTTCCCTGGGCATCCCAAAGGAGCCATTAGCATCTGTGCACTGGGCAGAGGGTGGGGACAGCAGAAGGTCTGAGATGGTCCGCCTGGCCGGTTTGTGGTGGCACTCCTGCAGTTGGCCGTGGTGACAGGAGGCCCTGCCAGGGCCATTTATCCAAGGAGATGAAAACCGAAAGTGGGTTCCAGTTTGGAGCAAGGTGAGGCTGGCTGAATTGATGGCAATTCTTGCTTAGAGGAGGGGAAATGTTAATGTTTCAAAATGCAGTGTTTTCTGGTATGTTCATGTATCACTTATAACCATTTTTATTGAAAGAAAATATCAAGGTTTCACTTTCCTTTAGGCCCATGTCCTTGAAGGTCTCTTCTTCTTTTGGGGGGGACCCTCTCCTTGACCAAGCACGATGCCCTGTTGCAGGGACTGGTCCCTCCTGATGACATGCCCATGGTGTGCAAGACAGTCTCACCATTCTCACTTCTAAGCAGCATTCTCAGTCTCCTTTCAATGCACTGTGTTCGTTCGGACAGTCCATAGTATCTTTCATAGCCTTTGCTAAGCCTCCAATTTAAAGGCATCAGTCACCAGTTCTTTTGTCTTCCTTATTCAATGTCCAGCTCCCCCATGCATAGGAGGCAATTAGAAATACTGTCAGTCGGTCACCTCGTCCAGTAGCCTCAGCAGCTCGGAACCCCCCCGGGAGCAGTCCCCGGCACATAGACCTTAGCTGCACTCCATCCACTGGTGAAGTGAGGGAGAGTGGTGGTGTCATGATAACCTAGCAGCACCTCTAACGTAAACAAACAGTAACTCACACATTTCAGCGCCTTATTATTGTAACAGATCACTTGCAGCACACCTCCCAGTTGACCTCACCACTCAAGTGTGGGAATGCCACAGTTGTCAGATCACCCTCTGGTTTTTTAATTACCTCTCCAGTATCCACTTATTGAATATCCAGATTGCATGTGAACTCCCTACCCTTAAAGGCAGCCCATTCTGCTTCAAGATTGCATGACTCTTAGGAAACCCTTCCCTGTACCATTGGGAGATAGTCTTTTCCTGTAATTTTCCACCCATCAGTCCCCTGTATGCCCCTTGAAGCTTAATCTTCAGATACTAGATAACAGCTGTCTTTTATCTCTGAGTCACCGCCCTTTCATGTGTGGCTCATGATGTGTGAGCCCTTTTCTCAAGTTGTGGGGTCCCCTTCTGCCTCTGTGAAGTCTAAGGAGCTGGCTCACTCTCCTGTCTTCTCTTGGGCTGGCTCTGAGTCTGCCTGCCTCTTTGCTACTTGGTTCCCTACAGATGGCAATGGTGACAGCTGCCCATTCTGTTCAGTTCAGCAGATACGGATGGCTTTGCCCTAGAGAGGAAATTGTCAACCAAGCAAGTCACGACCTTTATGCAGCTTTCTGGTTGATTCAGGCTTCTAGCGGATTCCAGCAGGAAAGTCAAAGGTCAGCGCGTCTCCAACATTGTGTGCTCTTCCCAGTGTCTGCTCTGTGTCATGTGCGTGATGGGATCTACTCAACAGGCCTCAGGCAGGAGTGGGTAAGGGCTGGCGGAGGGACGGCAATCAGAGTGACTCCTGATGAGAACATGGCTTCTTTTTCTTTTGTTTTTTAAACACTTTACCATTGCTTAGGTGAAAGTTTACAGAGCAAATTAGCTTTATCATGAATAGGTATGCTTCCACTTCTCCCTCCCATTTTGGGATTATTACTGTCAAAAATTTACTTGTACTGAAGTTGAAAATCTTGCAGGGTGTTATTGTTGCAGTTTCTGGGAAACCATCTCTATCAGGAAGCTGATCAACATACTATTAGATAACCATGGACCCAAAAAATCACAAGGGCTATTAGAAAACATTTTCACTTGAATAATAATGAAAATGTACAATATTTGTGAGTTGCTGCCAAAACAACACTTAGAGGCAAAATTATAGCTTTAAAATGCTTACATTAGAAAAGGAGACGCGTTTAAAATTTGAGCCTGTAAAGATTAGCTTCACAAATTTCACAGGCAAGGGGAAAGGTTACTACAAACATGTAATATGTTAGAGTGCTGAACCAAAAATTCAGAAAATATCCGTTCCTACTATGACAGCACAGGTCCCTCTCTCTTCCCAAAGAAGCACAAGACAAATAGCCAGACTCTATTTTGTCACAGTGAAAATTAGAATTCACTGACGTGAGCAGTAGAATTATCTGCCAAAATAAAACATCAAACACAGCCATTAGATAACATTTTTATTTTTCAAGTGTTAGAGCACTATTAATTGGCAAAGTATCTTTTTTTATGAAATCAATGTTGAGCAAAAATATTTGGCGTGTTAAGATTTAATTTGGAACAGGAATTGAAGTACATAAACATGTACATATGTTTCTTAATATTCAATTTTGGCATTTGTGTATTTTATGTCATACTTATTTATAGCGTGCATACTCCATAAATGTTTCAAAATTTAAAAAAGTAATAATAGAAATGGAGAACAGCGTGGGGCAAATGGAATGAGGAAATGAACACACAAAAAGCACCTCACTCTTAGACAGCAGTTCTAAGAGTGCTTTCTAAGTTCTAAGACCCCTTTCACAGGGGTCACCTGGTTGATAACAGTAGCAAACTTACAGTGATGAAGTAACAACAAAAGTAATTTTAAGGATGGGGGTAGGTCCCCACAACATGAGGAACTGTATTAAAGGGCCGAGGCATTAGGAAGGTTGAAAACCACTGATTTAAAAGAACGTGTGAAAAGAAAGAAAGAAAGAAAAAAAAATATATATATATATATAAACAAAAAATAGATATAGATAAATAAAACAGGACAAATGAAAAGCCCATTTTATGGTGCCAAAAAAATGAATAACCACAATAAATATAATTCCAGAGTGAAGAAGCAAAGACTCAAACTATATATTTTTTTAATCTAGTGATACATACTATTTATAACAAACACACTTGAATCATAGAGACACAGAAATTAAATATTAAAAATGATGCACCAGTAATGTACTAAGCAAAAGAAAACTGGTATCATATTGTTGTGCAAATAACCCCCACATTAGACGGTGTTTGTAAATCACAGCTCCCAGCTGTGCATGTTGTCTCTGTGGGCACATCATATGCAAAAATATGGTATGTTTTTATGAATGCCTGACAAACAGATTTTTTTAAGCTTTTCATTGTGAATTGAGTGAAGATTTACAGAGCAGATCAGTTTTCCATTCCATAATTCAAACACATTTAGGTCACATCATTGCTTGGAATCATGCAATAAAACATCACTTGTCGCACTTCCTATGTTTCCGGTTTCCATTCTTCCTCCTTCCTAAGCCCTTCTGAACTTTGTCCTTGGGGAAATGCTGTCCTTTTGACC